CAAGCACACACGCTACTGGCATGCTGTCCCCACTGTCCTCTTCAATGCCTCAGAGCACCCGGGGTCCCAAGGGCCCCACCGAAGCCCATAAGCACTCATCGTCACCTGCTCGGAGCTGAGGAAGGGCGACAGGTGGATGGGAGGACCCGACTCGACTGCAGGGCCTTCCGTACATGACAGCGAGAACACGGGGAATCTTCCTCGAAGTACTCGCTGCACTGCACATGGAATCAAAACGGAAGGGGAGGCCTTCAACTTGGGCTCCGTGTAGTCCAGCTAATGAAATGCCTGCAGGTTCAGCACTGTCAAAGCACTGTGGCCACTGGGAAGGAGCCCTGGTGGCACAGTGGGTAGGGCATCTGGATGCTGATGAAAAGGTTGGCAATTTGAACCCCCCTGCCACTCCTCAGGAGAAAGATGGTGCAGTCTGCTTCCATGAAGACTGAAAGCCTTGGAAACCCTGTGGGGCAGTTCCACTCTGTCCTCTAGGGGCGCTGGGAGTTGCCATCAACTCCGTGGTACTGGATTTGGGTGTCTTGGTCCCTGGATAATAGTTTTTCCCACTAAATCGTTCCCAGATGTGGCTTTTCCTCCCCCAGACAAGGCCCATTTTGTTGTTTCCTGTCAAGACTTTGGCCTTGCCCTGGTCTGACTTTGTTAGTTCTCTCCCACCAGGTCCACAACCCTCTCTGTTGGGCCACAGGCTCGCTCTCGGCTGGGACCAAGGACGAAGCACCTGTTCAGAGAAGCCCCTCCCAATGCAGCCCCCCACACGCCGGGGCTCCAGCAGCTCAGAGACACGTGGCAGGCCCCGGGTGTCCCCCTTCGGGAACAAAGGGGAGGGCGCTTTCTGGGAAGAGCCACTGTGCCTCTAAATGGAAGTCAGCCCCGAGAATCCGTCCAGAGAAAAGCCTGCCCCCGCCCAGCAGGCCCGTGCCATGTGCAAATACCACCCCCACCTCCCACATTCCTACTTTTGTTGGCTGGACGAACCCTAAACCCTGTGTCAATGGGAGGAGGAATAAAAACATCTCTCCCTAAGCCGCCCTAATTATTGCCCGGCTTGACTGAAAGCGAAGAAAAAAGACTAGTTAACCTTTCTGCTTCGTCGCCTGACCTCCAGGTGGCCCTGCCCTCCAGCCACTCGGAACTGCGTCCCCTGGGCCAGGCCCGCAGTGCTCAGCTAACGTCAGCGGGGAAGCAAGAACAGACGTGCAGAAGGGTGGGTAGGAGAGGTTTCGCAAGGCACACGCACGTCTCTACGACCACCACCTTCCCTTCCCTTGACCGTATTTTCTTCTGAGACACATTTTATTCCTTCAAGCTGTGGTGATTCCACAGCGCTTCTTCTCAGCACGTTTTTACACTATCATATCGAACCATGGCATCTGCCATTAATGTCAAAAGTAGCCGCACACTCGCAACGTTTTTGTACAACTTGACCTACCCCTCGGGGCTTACTTCCTGTTAACCGGCTGCCATCCAACTGGCTCCGGTTCGTGATGACCCGAGCTGCCAGGGTTCCCAGTGGCTGGCAGATTGCCAGGCCTGTTTCCGAGGCACCGCTTGGTGGACTCAGCCTGCACCTCTGGGTGACCATCTGCACTGCCCAGGGCCTCCGACTTTCTGAAGCTTCCAGAGAGAGGGCAGGCAGGGTGGAATACAGACCGAACGTGGTCAGAGATGCCCACGTGACAAGACAGGCCAAAAACCGAAGTAGCCAAAGTAGTTTTCCCTTCAAGGGATGTAGACAAGCGATGGGGACAGTTCCTCCAATGACGGCACACGTCAACGGCTGTATGGGTCCCAGCCCCAGGGAATCCAGTGTGAAGGGGTGCATCCCAACGGCACGTGCCCTGGGACAGCAGGTCACTCCAACAAAGAAACCCTCCACAGCCACCCTCGGTCACTCTGCACTCCACCATCCAGAAGGGCGCTCTGTGCCGTGTGTTAACTCTGACACGACGCTCAGTCTTCCCAGGTGAGCCATCTTCGTGCCTAGCTCCACTCTGTGCTTGAATGTCCTGACTTTTTACGAACATCAATCACACGGGCCCTGAACCCGCCTCTCCGCTGTGAGGAGGACTCATTTTTGGTGAATGTTCAATTGGTGCCACATCTCTGTCTCCATTTAAGATCAGAACGCACCTCGGTAGCTTCCCCCAATTGCTGAATGCTTCTACTTTAAGTAGGTAACGGGGATACTTGGACCAAGTTTGGGGTAGAAGTGGCCAGACCACCGCAGCTTTTCAAAGCTGCATGTGTGACTACAAAACTAAGCATCCACATCAAGCCCTGCATGTCAGAAAACGTCCAGAGAAATTACGCCACGCTCATCATTTAGCGAGGTGTCCTGGTGGGGCAGTGATTAAGTGCCGGGGTGCTAACCAAAAGGAGAAAGACAAGGCAGTCTGCTTTTGTAATGATGACAGCCTTGGAAACCCTGGGAGCAGTTACACTCTGTCCTCCTGGGGTGCTGTGAGTCCACGGCGGTGGGTCTGGTTTGGGGTTTTGGTCATTTATTGGAAAGGCCCCAAAGCTCGCAATCCCAATTTCAGCGTTGCCACAAGGGGCCCAACTCCTTCTTATGAGACTACTTTTCTATCCCCAACATCTACACATTTGCTTTAATAAACTTTACCACTCACCTCAGCAGAGTGGTACCAGAATTTAAAATAACAAACGTTTAAAGAACTCAGTAATCTTTTTAGCCACAGGAAAGACCAGTGTTTTCCAAAGTCACACCTGTTTTTAAAACCAAGGCAGCTGCAGAGTGAGTATGGGACACCCATGACCCTGTGGAGAGGAAACATCCTCTCCACAGCAGGCCCTTCCGAGGCCTCGGCAGACGCGACAAGTGGGAACGGCCACACTGAGCTGACCGCACAGCCCTCCCTCAGGAGTGGCATCAGTCAGCCACCTCCCTCACACCGGGCCTGCACAGGTGTCTGCGCTAACAAGCCGGCTGTCCTCAGGATGACAAAAGTAGCCTCAGTAAAGCAGCGTGGTACAAGAATAACTACCCAAGCCAGGCATTAAGGAAAAATATGTCACAAGTAAAATTTCTAAATGAAAAAAAAAAAAAAGAAACCTAGGAAAATTAAAAAACAGTTGGCCAGTTTCTTTAAACACATATACGCCAGCTATTTGGAAGATTAACCATCTCTGCACACACACGGTTACTTGAATCTAGGGAGATGGACTACCACTGAGCCCTTCTCTGAAGTCAGCCCTTACCTGCCTGCAGGTGTTCAGAGGGTGGAGGACACGGGACTATGAGAAAATGGAAGCAAAGGGTAGGCTGACCTCACAGCCACCTGCTCTTTGCTCAGAAAGGAGGCATGTCCAGGAGAGACCATGAGTCAAAGGGGCACGCACAGCCACCAGGGCACAGGCCACCTGGACAAGATCACCTGCCGTGACAGAGCCACCTGGATGGCAGTGCCTGGACATGGGGCTCCCCGAGTATGGTGCCACCTGGGCATGGTGCCATCCAGTGCTGAACCACCAGGAACGCGCACACAAGAGCACCCGGACAGGAGGAGACTTCGAGGACTCAGGCGACCTGGACGCCAAGTACGTAGCTTTGGGCTAGCTGGGCACAGGGTCACCCAGGTGCGTGACCACTGGGGCAGGAGGCTACATGGGTGGGGCACCACCCCGGGCGCGGGCCCTGCACACTGGCTCACCTGGCACCGGCTCAGGCGCGCCCTCCTCACCACTGTCGTCCACGACCTCGTCGGCCAGGCCGGAGCCCGGGGAATCATCCGCGGCGCTGGCAGAGCCGGGGCTGCTGGGCCCGCT